ACGTGACTGCCTCGCAAGCACCAAAAGAGAAAATTATGCTCACATTCTTAAGGTAGCAGATTTGGGGATGTCTGTTGGTTTTTAGGTCATTTAATAATTTCTTCATTGCTGATTTAATGAGAATCAAACTGAAAAACATTTCTGCCAGAGACATAATTGATAATTTTTTGTATTCAGTTTTTTAAAAGAAGTAAATGTAAAACGTACATAGGCATGGATTACAGTTATCTTATTCAGCAATTTGCTTTTTAAAGTTATTTAGGAGGAGAACAGAAGGCATTTCTTTTTTTTAATTTTCATGATGATTAGTGATGAGCATCTTTTTTTTTTAATTAATTCATTTATTTGAATTGGAGGCTAATTACTTTACAATATTGTGGTGGTTTTTGCCATACATTGACATGAATCCGCCATGGGTGTACATGTGTCCCCATCCTGAACCCCCTACCCTCCTCCCTCCCCATCCCATCCCTCTGGGTCATCCCAGTGCACCAGCCCTGAGCGCCCTGTCTCATGCATCAAACCTGGACCGGCGATCCACTTCACATATGATAATATACATGTTTCAACGCTACCCTCTCAAATCATCCCACTCTCGCCTTCTCCCACAGAGTCCAAAAGACTGTTCTTTACATCTGTGTCTCTTTTGCTGTCTCGCATATAGGGGCATCGTTACCATCGTTCTGGTCTGGCACGTGTAGGGATGAATTCCCCAGACATACTTCACAGCAGTCCCGGAAGGAGAACCAGGGGCTGTAGGGCTCTCTCCAGGCAGCCTGGGAGCAAGGCTGCTGTTTGTCAGCGTTGGCACCTGCGTGAGCTATGAAGGCTGCTTTAAACAACGCTGATCAATTCAATTCTTTTCTTTACCTCCCTGCTCCCTTCTCTTACTGGGGAATCTGGCTTCTCTGTTACTCCCAATATGGGATAATGATTTCCTGCAAGCATCACTGAGCTCCAGAAAGTCACTGTAATCTCATCAACAGTGCGACTCCCCAACTGGGACTCTTGAATTTATATAACCCGATGGTAGCTGGTCAGGGTGCTTAATCCGCCACATTGCTGTGCTGAGTCCCCCAGTCATTTAAAATAGAAGTCCTCTTATAAAGATGACCTCATTATGGCTCCAAATTAGGACAGACTTCATCAGAACCCATAGTTAAACCAAATATTTTACCTGTGAAAGCAGTTTACTACCACTTCCTGGCTGAAAAAATTTCAGCCCAGGCCTTAAGGAATTTTCCAATGATCCCAGTGAAGACCGAGTAGGAGGCTGGATGTACATCCAGTCTTTTTGCATGACCTGTGGTACGCTGAAGAGTTTTGTTACCTTTTTTAACCCTGAAATAAAACAGAGAAGCCTCACCTCGAGTTTCTGGTTAATGCCTTGAAGATTATTCCAATTAATGCACCTGTGGTTTTCCTAAATTTTCTCAAACATTTTAGGTGATTTCCCAACTAATCATTTTTAGGGTTCAACCTCAAAGATTTTAATATAAAGGAGAAATAATTTTTAAAAGAAGCGTCTCTGCTTACTTTCTCCCTTCCTCTTTAGCAACGAATTGTTTGTTTTGGAGATACATACCAGTCTCAAAATTGTATACATACTAAAATATACACATCAGTGTGCAGCCTTGTGACAGGTAATGATAGTAAAGAAAACTATCTCTCTGCTTTTCTCATAGTTGCCTGTCAGGCAGGAATGCGTGCGTGCTCAGTCGTGTCCAACTCTTTGAGACCCTATGGACTGTAACCCTCCAGGCTCCTTTGTCCATGGAATTTTCCAAACAAGAATACTGGAGTGAGTTGCCATTTCTTACTCCAGGGGATCCTCCTGACCCAGGGATAGACCCACCTATCTTGAGTCTCCTGCGTTGGCAGGCAGATTCTTTATCACTGTGCCACCTGGAAAGCCCTTCTCACATTTGCATTATCTAATTTTTAGTGCTAACAAGCATTGAGAAGTGATTATCTTTTTCTTTACAACCATGACCTTTGATTGCAGGTGGCATTTTATACAGCTTGCTTTTTCTAAATATTGCAAATAAAGTTGAGTGGTGGAGAGGGGCACAGGAAGAGCCAAGAGTTGGAAGAGAGATTTAAAAATGAAACTAAGGCATAAGGAGTTCATCTTATTTAAAAAATGTGCTCCATATATATTTCTTCTGTTTATCTTCATAAACATATATGTTTATCACGATACAAGATATATAAGTATATACTTAGAGACTTGTTTCCAGTTGGCATCTGAGAGCAAGTTGGCATCTCTATGTCATATACTGTACACATAAATGTGAATATATATGAATATATATGCACATGTTTATTTTTCATATGTGATTCTGCAATGCATGGATATGCTTGGATCTAACTTATCTTGTTAAAAATGACTACATTTATATAAGTATGCATACTTATATAAAATGTATTCTTAGTTGGCATCGGGAGCAAGTTAGCATCTGGTGTAAACTAAGTTTTCATTTACTGCTTATATATGTGTGTTGTAAATTATGAATATTAGGATGAATGAATATATTATGTTTTCTTATAATTTCATAAGTTCCTTTAATAATGATTAAATATGTCTCATGAGCATGTATAATTACATTTATCATTTAAAAGGTAAGTGTGTAAAGTAGTAACGGGGTTTTTTTCCTCAGCCAAGTCAAATGATGAGATCCAGGTATGCATAGTGAACTGGAAAGAGGAAGACATATTAAACTATGAGGAGTAAGGATTACAATATTAATAAGTACTATTTTTATGAGAATAATAGACCTTTAAAAAATTTATCTATTTTAATTGGAGGCTAATTACTTTACAGTATTGTAGTGGTTTTTGCCATACATTGACATGAATCAGCCACTGGTGCACATGTGTTCCCCATTCTGAACCCCCCTCCCACCTCCCTCCCCATCCCATCCCTCTGGGTCATCCCAGTGCACCAGCCCTGAACGCCCTGTCTCATGCATCCAACCTGGACTGGGGATTCATTTCACATATGATAATATACATGTTTCAATGCTGTTCTGTCAGATCATCCCACCCTTGCCCTCTCCCACAGAGTCCAAAAGACTGTTCTATACATCTGTGTCTCTTTTGCTGTCTCGCATATAGTGTCATCATTACTATCTTTCTAAATTCCATATATATGCGTTAGTATACTGTGTTGGTGTTTTTCTTTCTGACTTACTTCACTCTGTATAATAGGCTCCAGTTTCATCCACCTTATTAGAACTGATTCAATTGTATTCTTTTTAATGGCTGAGTAATATTCCATTGTGTATAGGTACCATAGCTTTCTTATCCATTTGTCTGCTGATGGACATCTAGGTTGCTTCCATGTCCTGGCTATTCTAAACAGTGCCATGATGAACATTGGGGTACACGTGTCTCTTTCAGATCTGGTTTCCTCGATGGGTATGCCCAGGAGTGGGATTGCTGGGTCATATGGCAGTTCTGTTTCCAGTTTTTTAAGGAATCTCCACACTGTTCTCCATAGTGGCTGTACTAGTTTGCATTCCCACCAACAATGTGAGAGGGCTCCCTTTTCTCCACCCCTGGACTTTTTTATTTGTGCTTTTACAAAATACTTCACAAGCTAAATATTTTTTGTATACTTATATGCAAATTTGAATTAGATAGTGTTAGTTTGTTCTTAACACATTCATTGTGAAGTATATGCTGTTGACTATGAGAACAGTTTTTAAAATCCTTTTTAGTGCAGATAGCCAGCATGGTTATTTTATTCATTTAAATTTCACTTGAATCTTAATCAATTAATAACAGTTTAATTTTTGGATGACATTTCTATGGTAGGATTGTGTCAACCTAATAAGTCACGTATGAAAAACTAATTAAAAGCTAACCTCTATTAAAGAGTATTTGTAGTAGAATTTTTATATATTTTCTGAAAATTCAGGTGCTGTTAACACTGTCTTAAGTTGTGTTTATGAGGAGTGTGTGTGTGTATGAGTGCATTCTTTTATACCTCTTAGATATTTTGGTAATATTCAACTTTCCAATTTATATACTTATTCATCTTGAGCAGCTATCTTATAGGCTCCATAGGTTTGTTGGACAGGTCTAAGGAAAAAAAGGAAGTTTTTTATTTGCCCCATATCAAGATTTACTCTTAGCTAGTTGTTCCTCATGTACCTTCAACATATACTCATGCAATTCTGTTTTATAAAGAAGAGTATGGAATGATGACCTACTATAATGTTAATATATAAAGAAAAATTTGACAGCTTAACCACTGTTTATCTTGCAAAATCCCCATAGTAACTGTAAACTTCTTGTTAAAAGAATTGCTCATATGTTTAGTGTTGCCTGTTACTCCATTGGAAAACTATAGTATTTTTCTGGTGCAAAAAGATCCTTTTGCTCTATTGAGTATCATTGGTTAGTTGTAAGTTGTTTTGTGTATATGACATTAATTTGTTGCAAATGCAGACATTTTAAAATAGAGGTATATTTTTCAGTATAGCTCATATTAGATTATATACAGGAATGTTTAACATTAGTAGTTAAATATAGAAGTAATATGGATGTTACATTTGTTGTTGTCCTGTCATAAAAGAAATTCTCCAGAATGAAGAAATTACTTCACTAAATTTGAAACATCAGCCTTACATAGGCTGCATATGTAGCAGATACAGATTTTAAGTACACTTGCTGGCTGATCTTCCTACTATTGGTTAGTAGTTTGTACATTCCCCTTTCTTCTGATTGCCATCCGTGTTTTAAGCTGTGTTTCTTCTAATTTTTAGATCAGTGTGCTTTAATCATTATATTTAGTAAATTAGCATTAAATTCAATATTCTAATTTTTGTAATATTCTAAGATTAAACATTTATTCTTTTATTAAGTGTTGAAATATGCAAGTCATTATTTGTGTATGGCTGACTAGAAATATTGCTGAAGTGTAAAGGAGAAAATCTAATTTTATATTGGCATAGAAAGAAAGCTTAACTTGTTTTCTTGCTCTTTTTTTATAGAGAACACCTGTTCCCAGCGCTGAAGCATTCCGATGGTTCTTTTAAAGCAGTAGTATATCTTATTTTCAAGGCATTTGGAAGTGAAGGGCAAACTAATGTCTTGTTTTAAGAAACTGCTTAGTCCACCACTGAAGAAAATATCCAGATATTATTTTCATTTTATGTATAGGGGTTTCTTCAAAAAAAAAAAGGGGGGAAAGAAAAGAAAAAAGACATATAAAAATAATCTGGGAGCTTGGGGAATTGGCCAGTCTATTTACTTTCAATACACTGATTCTTTCTTTGATGTAATTTAGCTATCCTAGTGAAGTTGTTGTCTATTTTGAAAGTGGCTGTAAAAAATAAGTTTGGGTAAACCCCTGCTGTAAAATCATGTATCTTTGCAAAGTACATATCTATACTTCATTTTCAAATATATGTGTTTCAGTACTGTAAACTGTACAGATAGCAGCTTGTATTTTGTGTGTTTAGACACAAGAAGACAATCATGTCTGAGCATCTATGGAGATTAACAGTTTGTTCACAACACTCTGGTTCTGCGAGTTAAATCTGGAGCAATAAATTTTAGCTTTAAATATTTTTTTGCCAGTTGTTTCTAGGAGCAGCAACGGCAGTGGCGTGTTTTGCCATGCATCTTTCCGTAGAGACTTGATGCCAAGTTTTACAAGACTAAAAGATGGTGATGCATCCAGCAGTTACCTTCAGTTGTATTGTTCTAAGAGGGGAAGATGTTAGGAGAGTTTCAATTAATCTTTTGAGCACTATATTAGAGTAGTGGTTATGCACTTGCATTGCTTACAAACGAACTGTACAGAAGGGTATACCTCCCAAATCCTTAGTGTAGTTGACTTGTCTTGGGTGGCACTGTAAGACGGAGTACTCAGCGTAGTTGAAACATGCAGAATCTGTTGTTTAACTTTTTTTTTTCTTTCTTTAAACAGTGTTTTCTAGGATACAGGCTAGAGTATCATATCTTAGGGGAGAAATTCATGACTGACTTCCCCCCCGCCCCAAGCCCAGCATGGGCTTTTTTTGTTTGTATGTATCTTTTTGTTTGCCTATTTTTCTGCTTCTTTCTTCATAGAAAAAAATAAACACTTAATAAAACATATCCAATTGTTTAAATTCCATGTGTGATATTAAAAGTGTAGTTTTGTTTTAAAATTTGATTACATAAAGGCCTCCTGCCTCGAGACATGGCTGGGTACATTTTTAAGTTCAAAAGAGTGAAACACATTCATGGAAGTGAGACTGTTAAATCTCTTTTGATCTTCCTTTCTCACAGCCTCCCAGTTAAACCCGTGGCCTTCTCCTAGGCCCTCCGTGAAATGTTCCATGGTTCCCATTCCCATTCTCGTCACCATCACCAGATGCTTCCGTTCCTGAGAAGGCAGGGCCACAGTCTGTGGAATTCCATAAATGCAAACAGCCCCCAAACAAAAGGAGCTAATGTTTCATAGGACCTGAGCTACCTTTTCTCATAATGTTTGGTTTTCTTCTGCAGTCAGTGTTCTTTAGGCTGGCCCATTAGGACATATGTTTGTGGCGGCATGATCCCTGAGAGTTTTAGTTCTCCTCTCTCTCTCTCTTTTTTTCCCCCAGATTATAAAGACTGTTTTCAGCTTCAGAAATAAGACAGAGTTTAGCAAAAACACATAGAGTATGCAAGTTGCCATATTACTGTATCTTTTTGTTTTCTAGTCAGTAGCCAGCTGTTTTAGCCTATGACATCCATTGACCTGCTGAAAACTTAGCAACATGGATCAGGTGAAGAAAAATAACTTGAGAAGGGAGAGGGTGATGAAAGGAACAAAGTTTTAGAAAGACTAGCAGATGAATAATTTTAAAAGGCTAGTTGTAGTTTTGAATGGGAAAAAATACAGACAGAGGAGGTTTTTTTTTTTAAAGCAGAAGGAGCACTTCATTGGTAGAGTGCTGGCAAGTCGGGGAGAAGGTACTTACAAATGCCAGTGTGAAAAACAGTGTTTCTTAATTTGCCTAGAGTATGGATACAAGGTCTACAGTTACTGTCAAATAGCTTTTTTGAAGAAAATTCACTATGTATTACACTTATCCATGTTTAGAGAAAAAAATTATATGATCGCAAATTAAAATGTGCTGTACATTAATTTTGAGATAGCTTTCTACTTGATGTATATTCCTTTGAAGGTACTAGTTAGAATTTCTATTTCTGCTGTGGGACCAATAAGAGCTATATGAGTTCTTTCTTGTTCCATTTTTAATTTTATTTGACTTTTTTAAACCAATTTGCTAATGAATTACAAGTAAGTGAAAACTTACTTTCACACTTGAATGGTAAGCTTGCCTTGCTTTTGGAAAATGATCATTGTTATTACAGAATTGAAACAAACTTTTATTCAGGCTGCATTAAGCATACGGTAACATATGAAGATCTCATCACAATGTACTGTGAGTCTCAAATACATGCTAGTATTGCATGTCTTGATGTGTTTTTGTTTGTTTTCTTAAAGAATGAATGAATTTGTATATTGTAAAATGTGATTTTTTACATGTGAATTCAATTTTTTAGTGAAATAATCTGTTAAGTATTGATATGGAGAAGTGCAGCTTTTCTTAAATTCCTTATGTGTTTTTATTCCTGATGTTGTCCTTTTTTTAGCCACCCATTTTTTAATGTTTTGGGTTAAGTTATTTATGTAATGGAGGGTGCATATAAGGTTCCCTTTGGTGACGCTGAAGAAAGGTATCACTCCTCTGGCCTCCCCTCAATTTTCTCACTTGTGAGTTTATGTATTGAGAACTTATAAAGCATATCATGGCAGCACGAAGGGAGTAATTGAAAGATTTACACTTTTCATGATTCTTAAATACCAATGAAGTGTAACTTTTAAAAATTCCTTGCTGTATGTTTCATATTCAGAATCAAGAAAATTCAGAAGATAGCAATCAGCTGTAGGTCATGTGGGCTATCTTTACAACTTAAAAATTACATCTCAGATAAGCCAAATAAAAAACTTGGTGTGCAAGGTCACGTACAGAGGAATCTTGCCTTCTCTAGGTGTAGGTGAGAAGATGCCATTGTGTGTCTGCATCTGGGGAGACTATGGAAAGTACTTGGGCCGTTGCCATATAGTGGAGTGGGCCCATCCCTTTGCCAGCTCTCACTCAGCACCCTAACATCACAAGAACATCAGAGTGCTAATGTCTCTCTTTCCAGGCCTTCAACCCAAAGTGGCTTTCTGATGGATTCTGCCTGTCTGTGCACAAGTGGAGGGCATATTTACAAATTAGCAGTATGTCATTCTTGGGAGGGAGAACAGTAATAGGCTTCCTCCAGGGTAAGAATATATAAAAGTGTCTCCTGTTGCTTAATTCCCAACACCCAACTTTCTTCTAAACACATTCATAGAAAGCAAGAGATGGAAGACTTCCTATGAATTAATATTAAGCAGTCACTAAAAGAAAGGAATGTTCCCTTCCTTTCATTCAGAACCCCTGGCATGTAAGTTGTACAATTAATACTAAAGCAGATAAAGTCTTTAAGCTGATTGTCTCTGGAATCAAATAATGAAAAAAAGAAAGCAGTTAAATGAACACACTATTCAGGGTTAAATATGTCCAGCAAAAAACCGTTGTGGGTCTTTGATCATGGCTAGATTCACAGTGATATCACACAGTTGGTTCTCATGTAACAGCTAAATGTTTCAGATTTTGTTTTTATTAAATTTGGCAGTTTCACACTGAGATCTGTATTCCTAGTGAATAAAAGACAGTTACTATGTTAGGAGGGATTTCATTTTCACAATTGCAAGGAAGTCAGATATTTCAGGAACATGGGCCACAAAATGTACTCCTTTCACAGTGTTCTCCTATTCTGAACTGTGCAGTTATCTATTAAATTTTCTAATAGATATTTGTGTAAGGTGTATGTATGCTTGTGCAATTATTAAAAAAAGCAGTTTTGGAAAACAGTGTATTTATTAAAGAAAATTACTTATGGGGCATGTACAAAACTGTAAAAAAAAAAAAAAACCTTAAAAAAAAAACACATTCAATTTGCCCAGTAAAGTTGTTTTTGTGAAATTTCTGTGTTGTTGAATAAAGGACTTTAGTATTCAAAATATCTCTTTTTCCATGAACAAATTTTTATTTGTGAGATTTTTAATAACCAGCATTTTATCCTGAAAGTCTAATTCTTTTTATGATAAAAACATTTTTCATTCTAAACTTGCCTCTACATCAGCAGAATGAATACTGTATATAAAATTTTCATAAAATATTCCAGTTTTGTTCATCTTTTTTCTTCATATATTTTTGTCTTTCTTATAAATTTAAAGGAAAGAAAGAACGTGATGCCTTTTATATTTCTAAAGGATATATTCTTGTTGAAAGCTTTAAAAATTCCCCAAATAGAGGAAGTAATGTGTATATACAAACTTTCTTCCTTCATCATAAGAGTGCAGCAAGAAAGCTTTCCATGAACTCCTTGTGCTGTGAATGAAAAGTCTTGGTGATAATACTTAAAAGCATTAAGGTACATGAAGAAATGCACAACATTGGAATTCTACCTTCAGCCACTCCCAGCAATACTCTGAGATTACCTTTTTATTGTGTTACTTTTTTATTGTAGAATATTGTGGTCCACCCTGCTTATTATTTGGTGGTGAAGGCACTTAACTATTACTTCGCTGCTTCCCAGAACAAAGATCTAATTTTTTTTTTGCTGCTTCATAAACTACGAGAAATGTAGAACACAGTATTACATCTTGGAAATCATTAATATGGTTCCAAACATGGAGCTTTAGACAATTGAAAGAGTTCATGTTCACAGAAAAAAGACCACGTGAGAAGATTTTTGTCAGTATCATAAATTTCAAGATGTGTTCTGTTAGAATAATATCACTAGTATAAAATATCTTGGCCATGGCAGCAGAATTGGATTATATAGTGTGAGAAAGATGAATTAGGTAACTCGAATCATGAGAGTTTCTGGGTATTCAGCAATTTTGCAGGTGAGTTGCTTTGCTTCTTTATTATATTTTGGTGTAAGCAACAATATGGCA